CTAATGGATGCGTAGAACTAAAGGCTAAGCTAGATTGCTAAAGGCTTAACCATAATATGGCAATTATCAATCTACTTTCTTGCTTTTATCATTTTGCGGGTGGCGGGTAAATACCCATGATTAGCTTGTAGGCTGAGGGGGTTGATTAGATCAGAAGACACTCATGGCTTGCTGAATGGTCACGATATTTAATAGTTAGCATTTGTTTAGCATATTTGTATTATTTAGTGATTAATAGTATTTTGTGCAGGTAATTTCAGTCATTAAGGGCTTATAGGCTTTCCTTTTCTTTTGTTCAAGAAACTAATTTATTTATAACAGTCCTGAAAATGTGCGAAGCAGGGACACAATTATTTGGGCTTCTACGCTTGTTTTGATCTTCGAGAGTACTACAATTATGGATTGGTATTGACTGAATCGTGGTGGCAGCCTGGTGGGCTGGGAGAAGGTTTGGTGAAAGTTGAGAAATGGGGGCAGTTGCTGGAGAGGAGCTGACGAAGTTGGAGAAAATGCAGGGGATAGCTGCCCGTGAGGAGAAAATTCTTGTTTTAGTAAGGTTGAGACCTCTGAATGAGAAGGAGATTATGATGAATGAAGCAGCAGATTGGGAGTGCATCAATGATACTACTATCTTGTATCGGAATACCTTACGTGAGGGGTCTACATTTCCAAGTGCCTATACTTTTGGTAGGAAATGCCAATCTCTCTCCCCTTTTGACATCCTTTGTATAACATCTGAAAACATCTAACTTTTCGAGCTAATATTGATGAGGATTAGACACTGGAAATGTTTCAGTACATTTTTTATTGAACGCTTTAATACAGGTTCTTTTATTCAAGCTTGGAGGATTTTGGCTTCATCACTTGTTAATATTATATTTAAATTTTGTCTATTATGTCAAATATCTTTTTAATGATTATTACCTTTTTACCTGACTGTGGCTCTGTAAGTTAAGCCCATGTTTAAACATATTTCTATGCCTTTAGTACATTGCACTACTTAAGCATGCCATTGATAGTTATAACTTTCAACTTTAATTGTTTTGTAGAAGAGGACTGTTTCATTTTCTGTTCATCTTTTTGGTGACAGATAGAGTCTTTCGAGGTGATTGCTCTACAAAGCAGGTGTACGAGGATGGAGCTAGAGAAATTGCATTTTCTGTAGTCAGTGGTATCAACTGTAAGTATGTCATTTTATTACAATTTGATTTTTAACATGTCATCGAATTCTAATAAAAAGTAAAGACCTTACTCCAATATTTATGTTTTCAAATTTCCAGCGAGTATTTTTGCATATGGTCAAACAAGCAGTGGAAAGACATACACCATGAATGGAATTCTTGAACATTCAGTGGCAGATATATTTGACTACATCAGAAGGGTGAGTTAATTGTGGTGATCGCACTACACTCTTTACCTTTACCATAAGTAAGCTCTATTCTTATAGTCTTTGATCGTTTGTTTTCTTTTCCCAAAAATAAATGTCAGCATGAAGAAAGAGCATTCGTTGTAAAGTTTTCAGCCATTGAGATATACAATGAAGCTATTAGAGATCTCCTTAGCACAGATAATAATCCGCTCAGGCTGCTAGACGATCATGAGGTGGATATATTGTTTTTTATATGAATAAAAAAAAAAATTATATTTTTTCCTATTCTGTCATTTCTCACAGTTATTTGGTTATCAATAGAGGGGGACTATTGTGGAGAAAGTTACCGAGGAAACTCTGAGGGACTGGAATCATTTAAGGGAGCTCATTTCAGTGTGTGAAGGTGAAGCATTTTGAAAAATCTTGCCAGTCCCTGATTATTTCATATCTTCATGAAATCTGGTTATAATGTGCAGCTCAACGACGGATTGGAGAGACCTCACTGAATGAGAAAAGCTCCAGATCTCATCAAATTATCAAGCTGGTGTGCTTCACGTCTCCTCTTAATTAATCACATGATCAATCTGATTGAAGGATTCTATTTTCATCTCTGGGATAAAAAAATTTTCAACCAACTCCTCTTTACTTGTTGATGCCTGCAGACAATTGAAAGTTCTGCTCGAGAGTTTTTAGGAAAAGACAATTCAACCACCCTTGCTGCTAGTGTGGTACAGACCATATAACTTTACATTGTGTGTACATTACCGTATAGCTAATGTACCGACTATGTTTTATCTTTTACTTTTAAGAGACTTCAATTAATACACAACAACATTTCAATGTGAGACAAGCAACTCATCTCAACTCTTTTTCACTCTCCCGACTTTTCTTGCAGAATTTTATTGATTTAGCTGGGAGTGAACGTGCAGCTCAAGCTTTATCAGCAGGAGCAAGATTGAAAGAAGGTTGCCATATAAATCGCAGTTTACTGACTCTGGGTACTGTCATTCGCAAACTAAGGTAGTTGAAGTCCTCTTTCCTCCCTTTACGTTGTTGACATTTGTATTTTTCAAGATCTGTTGGAAACTATTTGGATCTTCGTCACTATGGGCCTAGTTATTCCACTAAACTCAACTTTTTTTTTTCCTTTTCCTCTTTAGATTTGAGCGAATGATTAATATGCAAAATTGCCACTTGCCACTGATGCTTGTGTCATGAACTTTCTCTAATGAGTTAAGAAATAAATATGGATTGTCACCATTGTCGGCAGTGTGCAAAGCATACAACCCTGGAGGGAGGGGAGTAAAAAGCGGTGGCATATATAGGCTTTCCCCAGGCAGTACAGAAGTTTCTTACGTGCAATTCTATTATCATTTTTGAAATACTTCTCTGTACAAGCTTAAGAACTATCATTCTGGTCTACTGTGTTGTGTGACCTGTGTTTGTATCTTAGTTCAAATATGCTTCCTGGTATGTTTTGCTTATTAAAGAGTTTCCTGGTGTTTCACTGATTTATGTAGTTGATATTCCAGAAGATGGTGGTCTAGAAAATTTACTTATAAATTTAGTTTGATGTTGAGTGGGACTTGCATCTGGAAAAAACTCGTTTATAGAAAATTTTACTTTAGCCATTACAGATGTTTTTGTGATTGGAAAGGAACAAAATATTCTTTGAGAATGGATCCCAAGTGTTTCAATATCTTATTTTTGGAGTAAAAAGGTCTAATTCGTTGATAACTAGATGTTATGCCCTCTCCCTCTCATTTTATTTTTCTTTTTCTTTTCTTAAAGTTTGCACAATGAGTGAAGATCTTTTTATACTTTTTAAAAACCCTTTGAGAATTTATTGGTTTAAATTGGTGTTATAATTTGGTGCAGCAAAGGAAGACATGGTCATATCAATTACAGAGATTCTAAGCTGACACGAATATTGCAGCCGTGTTTAGGTGGCAATGCTAGAACAGCCATTATCTGTACATTGAGCCCTGCAAGAAGTCATGTTGAACAAACTAGAAACACTCTCTTGTTTGCTTGTTGTGCAAAAGAGGTGACAACAAAAGCACAAGTCAATGTGGTCATGTCTGATAAGGCTTTGGTTAAGCATTTGCAGAAAGAACTAGCTAGGTTGGAGAGTGAGCTGAGAACCCCCGCCCCTGTTTCGTCAAGCTCAGAATATGCAGCCATAATTAAAAAGAAGGATCTTCAAATTGAGAAGGTTGTGTTTGCTACCTTAATTCATGCTTGAGATATATGCTCGAATTGATTTGAAGTTTGATATAAAAAATGTGCATATTTTCATTTACATTTGTTTGATATAGCGAACACCTTTAAATATTTTATGTACTCAGTTTTTAGTTATACAATCCATATCTATTCTAGAATTAAGTTTGGTGTCAAGAATTGCCTGAGAGATCTCATGATTGAATTAAGTTTGGCTATAGATGTCCTGTGTCACGCTTGATTGAAGGAGATCACTAACCCAGACAAGTTATCTCACCCTCAAATTTGATAACCATGAGGGGGAAAAAGTTAGCATGACAATTTTGCTTATAGATTAAATTGTGTTCCATCATGCAGTTGGTGAAGGAGAATAGAGAGCTCACTAAGCAAAGGGATCTCGCTCAATCCCGGGTTGAAGATTTACTTCGTATGGTTGGACATGATGATGTCTCGAGAAAGGTAAGCATTTACTGAGTTTACTTGATTTTACTTGCATGCATGTATAGTTACCATTGTGTTCTGCATATTATTTTTTTGTCTTCTTTCCAGGATATCAAAAGTAGTCATTATAAATGGCAAGCAAGGGATAACTTGGAGGATGAATGTTCAGCATCAGAAGCTTCAAGTTTTGCTGATTCTCGAGGTGCAGATATAAGAGGAAAAACTTTTAACAATCCTCATTATTATGATGGAGACAGTGATGATGGAAAGAGGTTCCTTGACTCTCACTCAGGTCAGAGTGGAATGACAACCGCTGTTGCAATAGCACAGGATTCCGATGACTGTAGGGAAGTTCAATGTATTGAAATGGAGGAGTCAGTCGGGGACGGTGGCTTATCACCCTTTGCTTCTGGTGAGTTCGGAGGAAGACCCTTCACTGGGCCAAACGATGGAAATATTGGTCATGAGGTAATATCAACTCCAGTGAATGGGAGCAGAGAAGTGCGTCAGATTCGAAATGATTCAACAAATGGTCAGCCAGAGCAAAGACTCCATGATACAAGAATGGCCATTAATTCTATTAACAGTCCTTACCGTGACGATGCATATTCTGAGGCAGCAGCCGAGATGTCGAGCTCCAGAAGCTTGAAGCTAGCCAGAAGCTGGAGTTATAGAGACAATCTCATGATTGAGTCTCCTGATAAAGCAGAGACCACCCCTTCCCATGGATTTGACAAAAGCTTTCCTGGAAGACCTGAAGGTTTTCAACGGAAACTTCTGCCATTAGACTATGATGGCACCCTATTGAGAGTTGATTCTCAGTCTTCTATCGGAAGTGCTCGGAGCATCAGAACTTCTGCAGATGAAGATATTACTCGCTTAGATACTTTTGTTGCCGGACTGAACAAAATGACCAACGCAGAGTATGGGAAAGAACTTGCTGATGGTCAGGTGAGGATGCACTAATTTTATTTTCTTGAAATTGATTGCGTAGTTTTCAAGATGATCTAAGTTTCCATACTTTATTTCTTGCAGATGAGATATCATATGGTGTGTTCTCTAGAACTTGGGTTCATTCATACTCAGCCATGTTTTAGATAAATGCATCGTTTGGCCTATGCCTTCTCCATTAATCCCACAATTTTATACATTCATAGAAAATGCTCGAATTACAATTTAGTAATTAGGTAAGAACATTTTAATTTCTTCTAATAATTAGCATGTTCTTACTAGGTTCTGGAGGATGGGCAAGAAACAGGTTTCTTAAACAACTCAAGGGGTGCTGGAGTGGAGACAATGCAAGATGCGCTACCCGCACTGGATTGGAATGAGGAGTTTCAGAGACAGCAGAGGATGATAGTTGAACTTTGGCAAACTTGCAATGTCTCGATAGTCCACAGAACTTACTTCTTCTTGCTATTCAAAGGTGATCCTACCGATTCCATTTACATGGAAGTAGAGGTTAGGAGGCTGACTTTTCTCAAGCAAACATTTTCTTATGGTAATGAAGCTGTGGAAAATGGCCGGAAGCTCACTCTTGCTTCGAGGTTAGTCTTCGTTCTGGCACGTTTCATCTTTGATTTTTAACTTCATACTATGAGTTCAGACAGTTCAATGCAGATTGCAATCGATGGCAGTTACAAAAAGCTGGAGCTTTTTATTTCTTTCCCTTTTTGATAAGAAACTAAAGAAACTTACGGATAAATGAACTATTATACTATTATTACAGAAAGGGACACATAATATACACCAAGTGAGAGCTACAAAAGTGAGATTATCCAAAAACAAGTTTCCCATCTTTGAAAACTTTAGACAAATCTTTAGAACAGTGGGTGGGAGTTGCAGTTTAGAATACTGTTGTGACTGCTCTTATAAGATGCAGACCAGGGGTTGGAGTAACATGTTAGAAATAGAATATTGTTAACTTCCTTCAATTGTTTGAATGAGCAGAAGCATAAATGTACTAACCCTAGCAACTTTATTTCTCGTGTCGCCTGCCTGATGCTTGCTCATTTTCTTTCTGCTCGGGAAAAACAGTGCAAGGGATCTCCGTCGCGAGAGACAAACATTGAGTAAGCTAATGAAGAAACGATTCTCAGAAGAAGAGAGAAAGAGACTATTCCAGAAATGGGGAATCGGATTGAACTCAAAACGCCGAAGACTGCAGCTGACCAACCGCTTGTGGAACGACCCGAACAACATGAACCACGTAACCGAGAGTGCAGCCATTGTTGCGAAGCTTGTGAAGTTTGCTGAGCAAGGACAGACCATCAAGGGGAACTTTGGTCTCAGTTTTATCTCCCCTCAGAAAACTAGAAGTTCATATAGCTGGAAAAACAGTAGGAATTCTCTTCTGTGAACTGAGCTGCACATATAACCACACTTACAGGTAACATTTTCAGTACTGAAATTACCATACAGCAATTTTTTTTTGTTACCAGTAATTAATATTGATAATGAACTGCAGCATCATTAATTGAAATAGGGCTGTATAAATCTCCTGTAAACTTGCTTGAGCTAGGAAGTTAGATTAGGCTTTTTGTGTGTATTTTGTGGAACTTATTAGTCCCTGCTCCCCACGTACTTTATCTCAAACATGAGATGACATGTTGAGATGACAAATGTTGTCGAGTTATTATCTGTCCTTCCATTTCTTCTGCCTTTCAAATTGGATTATTCTTGGCATCTAATTACTTAATGGCGATTATTTTAATATTTACTATTGATAAAAATGTATATTTTTTATTTAGTTGATTGATTAAGGTTTAAATACTATTTTGGTCCTCGTATTTTTGGCTTTGGTTCGTTTTTGTCCACGGACTTTCAAAATGACCATTTTGGTCCCTATACTTTTTAAAAGTGATTATTTTGATAAAAATAATAAAAATGATGAATAGAACAAAATCGTCACTTTTAAAAAGTATAGAGATCAAGGTGGATGTTTTGGAAGTATGCCGACTAAAAAAACAAAAGTTGAAAGTTTAGGGATAAATTGAACGGTTGAAAAGTATAAGAACAAATATGAACTAAAGTCAAAACACGTGTATCAAAATAGTATTTAAACCCTTAATTAATGTTGGAGTTCTACATATCGATGTCAATGGAAATGGAAGGTGATAATATGGACGACAATTTGATGAGATCTTGAATTACTAGATTAAAATATTTCAGTTAAGCGGGCCTGTTATATTTTTTATTTTATTTTAAGTTTTGAAAAAATACTTAGATAACATTTTATAGAAACATTTTGAAATAAGAAAATTGAGAAATAGTTTTCAGAATGTATTTTCACTCATTTTTATTTTCAAAACAAATTTAATTATGAAAACGTGATACATAAATATTATTATATATGTTGAAATCATGATATATAAATATATGATTTTAGAACAATAATTTAACTTACATGATACAAACACGAGAATGAGAGAGCGAGTGGTTCTCCTTCTTGACATTTAGGTAACTTAAAAAAAAAATTAGTAAATTCTAAATAATTTCCCTACGCGTAAAACGGATAAGCTCACACAACATTTTAGAAAACTAATTATAAACTAAATAATAAAGAAGAAAAAGAAGTTAATTTCATGTAAGATGTACAATTTTCAACAGTACAAGAATTTAAAATTTTAAAAATATATACAGAAATAATATTTAGGGGAGAGAATGTTAAGATAGGCAATCCGAACTCTATTTATTCTTTTCAGTGTTTTCAATTTTTGAATTTAAAATTTTAAAATCAGAACTAAATTTAGTTTAAGGATATTTGTTTGGTTTTGAAAGTACATAATCCAAAATAAATAAATAAATAACCAAAAAAAATTAATAGCTGCTCTAATTCAGGCCTATATCCGTAACTAATTTGAAAATATCGGTACAGTCAAGTCCTAAAACGTTTATTTTTTATTATTCAAAAATTAAAATAGACCTTCTGAAAATCTGAACACAAAAATAGTATAAATCTTGAAAATTCACACACTAAAATGAGATTGAAAAAAATGAGCGTATTAGTTTCATTTCCACCACAAATAAATTTGCCAATTCCATCTAATTGCGTTCAGCTTCAAAATCTTTATCGCAGAAATACTTCAATTCTCAATTCCACCGCGTTGTTGCAGGCGAGGCTGCAGTAAGATAAATCAGAATCCGATCTACAAAATCTATTTTCCTCCCCAAATAATCTTCTTTCTTTCTCGAAAAATTTCCAGATATCATTATGAATCTGAGCTAATTTTCGGTCAAAAAGATCCATATTCCAATTCAAGACCGGAAAAATGAAATCGTACAAACCAGCAAGCCGATTAAGCACTCAAGATCAATTCCAATTTCGCTTAAATCGATCCTGCCAAAACCCTAAACCTCGAGAAACCCTTGATTTTTTCGAAATTACAGATCATGGAATTTTATGCGATTAGAGGCAGAAAAGGAAAACTAAAATCAGATGAGCTTGAAAGGAAGAGGCCAAGGAGTGGAACTAGGAACCTCGATTTTATCCTTGATGCGCTGAATCTTCTTCTCCTTCTTCGGCCTGGCGTTGCCGTAGGAGCCTTTGAATCTCTTCCCCTTTTTGGTCTTCTTGTCACCTCGTCCACACAGGATCGGCACCAGAGCTTCGGCCGCCATTGGTGACGTTAGTGAAGGAGCGCGCCGCTCCGTCGCCATCACTCGCCTAGCTACTGCGCCGCACCACTGCATCATCGCCATTTTTCGGTTCCGAGTCCAACTGCGCAAATGAAGCAGGCAATGGGGTCCGACTGCGAGATATCAAGTGTGTTACAAAACTTGGGCTGGGCTTATTAAGTGGCCCATAAAGCAAGCCCAACTCTTTATTTTACTGTTCCCAGAATTTCCTTGTGTAAATTTTGGAATTTTATTCCATTTTTATTGAGGAAGAATAAAAAAAAAAAAACATCACATCTGAAATATAAAATTGCTACAGATTTCATGAGAAAATTGATGGGTTGATCGAAATTTATGTCTGCTTTCTAAAATTTTTGTTCTATTAACTTTTTTTTTTTGAGTCATTCGTTATTGTGAAGTTATTTCTCTTACTTGTCACATTCTCGGACATCGTGTTAGGTACAACTAATATGAAATTTTGTTTGCATTTTCCTTGCAAACTAAACAATCCGAGCCTTGGACAGCAGTATCCCAAGTGGCTCAAGTATCTTCACAATTGTATTGTCCGTTTTGGACATAGCCCTCACCGCTTTACCTTTAGTTTCACCAAAAAGATCTCGTATCAATAGATATTTGTCGTCTCTTATATACCATGGATTATCTCATTCCCTAGCCAATGTTGAACTTTGTTTTGATACCTTGCAACCTCAATAGACAGGAAACTTTCATACCACAAATAACGGTGAAGGTAATGGTCGCTCACTTTTTGATCTCTTTGCTAGCTAAGAAATAATCAATAAGATGAGTTCATATTGCATTTTTTTAAGCTTTGAACTAAAAAATTTTAATGACTGATTAGATTAATTACGTTTTACCTAATTCAAAGGTGACTTCGGAAGAGTTCAAACCTTGTGAATCATATCATTGTATATCATCAATCCATATGATAGGCAGGAATCAACGAAAAGAAATGTTGCTCTTACATTTATTTTCAAATATTTTATTTTAGTTCTTAAAAACTCGTCTAAACAAATATTTCCTTTCTTATCATCAAAATTTCCATTAATCATGTAACAAAAATCTTAATTGATTTCAAACTTTGAGCGTATAACTTCACATCCATGCTTGTTTAGATTAACATTTATAATATATAAATGAAAAAATACTAGTAAAAGGGATATGGTTTTTTTTTAAATAATTTATTCGAAAATAAGGCCAAAATAATATTTGACTAAAAAACTTAATTTATAAGATATAATAACTAATTGTACAATACAAACATCAAGGGGTGGTGGCGCAGTTGGCTAGCGCGTAGGTCTCATAGCTGTAGAGTTATCCTGAGGTCGAGAGTTCGAGCCTCTCTCACCCCAAGATCTTTTTTCTTATTAATTTTTCCAAATTCATTTTTTCTAACCAATAAATATTTGAATTTAAATTAAAATAATAAAATAATATTACCTCTCATGCCCCTCCAGTTGAGCTTCTTCGGAGGAGTGAGAACCATTTGTTTCATCATACGATGGAGCTTAATCAATTTTGTGATCGAGATGGCTCCATCTCAAGAAGATCGACATGGCCCAGCAAATCCATCGCAACATAATCTTCAGATCTCATTTTTGCCTCAATTTCTTCTCGCTCGCACGCCAATTCCTTCATGGAGCTCCATGGAGTCACTTCCTTCTCATGGTCCCGCGCTGTATCCCACGCTCTTCCCACCCACCACCACCTCGCCGTAAGTGGGTTCGATTCTCGCAATCTCATTTATTACATTTGGTTGAGCGTTGGGGGGATTTGTGGTTAATCTTGATTAGTAGGCCCTCTCTCTGTTTTTCTTCCTTTAAATCCTCTTTTTCCTTGAAGATTTGTGGCAAGAGGTTCAGGGTTTTCTGCGCCATTGATGCAAACGAAATGGTATGTACTTACTTGAATTTCTGTGTTCTGTGTTCTGCATTCTACGGCTGTTGGCTATTTCAGTGTTGGGATTGAAGATTATAATGTGTGTTGATTTGGAGTCAGTTTGTTCTACTGGTGATTGCGTTTCATATGTTTGATAATTTTTCTCAACCAATTTGTAGCTGTGAATCTGTGCTTCTTTTATTATACTATTGTTATTGATTTTTTTCAAAATTATTCGTCTTTCAAGGTTGAGCTTGGGGGGCTGGGCATATGTAATCTGAGACTTCGTAACGAAGCCCTTTTGGCTAAATGGTCGTGGCGTTTTCCATTGGAGTCGAATGCTTTGTGTTGTAGGGTTATTGTGAGCGAGTATGGTCCTCACTCTTTCGAGTGTGCCTCAGTTTATGGGTCTAAAGGCACATTCAAGAATCCTTGGAAAACTCTCTCTGTGGGGTTTCCCTTCTTTCCTAATCTTGTGAAGTACTCAGTTGGAGATGGTTCAATTCAAACACTTATTTTTGGGAGTGGTTCGTTGGGTGATAGTCCCTTTTGTATTTTGTTTCCTCGCTTGTACCACCTTTCATCTCTGAAGCCATGTTATGTGGCTTCTGCCATATCCTGTTCTAGTAATGCATACTCGTTTAATTTCGGTTTTCGTCATCCTCTTTCAAACAGGGAACCGTTGAATTTGTCTACTCTTCTTCCTTTATTGAGAGACTTCCATATTTGCCATAGAGATATTTGTTTTTGGTCTCCTAATCCCTGTGAGGGGTTCTCTTGTTCTTTTTTTCTCATTTTGAGTAGCCCTCACACTTCTAGAAATCCTGGAAAGTTCAAAATCTTCAAAAAGGCCAAATCCTTTACTTGGCAAATCTTATATGGGAGAGTCAACATTATGGACCGAATTCAGAGCCACTCTTCCTTGTTGTGGCTGCGTTGGTGCATTTTGTGTAGGAAAGTGTTTGAGGATCTGGATCACGTCGTGTGCAGATGCCAGCTTGCTATTTTGACATGGGATAGTTTTTTGGAGACTTTTGGCGTTTGCTTAGCTCGTAATAGAGATAGATCTCCCATTTTGAAAGAGGTTTTGTTTTTTCAACTTTTTCATGATAAGGGTTGTTTTCTTTGGCATGCTAGGTTGTTCTTTTTCATTTCATTTTATTTTTATTTTTCCAAGATTTCAGAGGTCCTTAGAGAGAAGTGTGGGTTCTTGCCAAGTTTTGTGCCTCTCTTTTGGGCATATGTCATAAAAAAAGACATTTTTAACTATCCTCTAGACCTTTTTTTTAGGTTGGAGACATTTTTTGTCTGGTTAGTTATGTTGTTGGTTGGCTCTTTTTTCTTTTTGTTTTGTTCTTTTGTATTCTTTCATTTTTCTGAACAAAAGCACTATTTCTTGGGGAAAAAAAATTGTTGCAGAAAAATCAGCTCACTGTATCAATAACTGGAGCTACAGGATTTATTGGTCGAAGACTTGTGCAAAGGCTACATGCAGGTTATGTTCAATACATCAAGCTAGACATTGGAAAAACCAAGGACATCATAGCTTGCTCTATTTTTGTCTAATTTCCTATGTCACATTTTCACAAAACATTTCTTTCTTAAGTTTACATCTTTAAGCTTTCAGCTCCAATCTGCTTCTCACAATGTAGCGGTAACGACTGACTGAGAATTCTTTGTTGTGGCGCTGATTATAGATAACCATAATATTCGAGTTTTGACACGTTCTAAATCTAAGGCCGAGTTGATTTTTCCGGGTAAGAAGGTAATAAATGTCAATAGTCTTTCAATGCTTTACTATACCTTCTTAATTGTCTTCTGCCTAATTTTTGAACTACATCCCACCACTTGTAGCTAGGGAGTTTCCACGGATCGTGATCGCAGAGGAACCCGGGTGGAAAGACTGTATCCAAGGTTCAGATGGCGTTGTTAACTTGGCTGGGATGCCCATAAGTACCAGGTGGTCTTCAGAGGTAAGTAGTATATTTCCAACGGATTTTGACCCCCTATAATATGATTTTTGGTCCCACATACTACACAACAAGCAAGTAATAAGCCGCTCTATTAAATATTAACTTGTTTTTTGTCCATATTACAAAAAATACCCTTTTAACTTTGCCCTTCGTTTAAAAAATATCTCTATCCTTTCAAAAGTTTCAATATTATCCTTAACTTTTCATAAAAGTTTAAAAAAATACCTTTTTGAGCAAACATTTATGAATCTTGAACAAAAAGTTGACATGGCAGAATCTAGAATGATGTGGCAATTAACATGGAAGCCGGCCTGAATTAAGTATGGAAAGAGAGGAAATATGGAAGAATCTATCAGTTTTAAAGGGAGGATTAGGGCAAAATTTAGTACAATTCCGCTTGTTTCCTTGCTAAAAAATGACAGCTTCTTCTACATCTCCTCCCTTTTCAAACCTAATCTAGGCAAGTTTCTAATTGTCATGTTGTTCCAAATTCTGTCACGTCAATTTTCCATTCAAAATATTAACGGATACTTGCTCAAATAATATTTTTGAAACGTTTATGAAAAGTCAAGGTTAATATTGAAACTTTTGAAAGGATAGAAGTATTTTAGAAACAAAGGGTAAAGTTCATGGGTATTTTTTGTATTTTAGCCTAACTGGAAACTACATCATTTTTAGATGAACAGTTCCCATGCAATTTGATTCAAGACATGCTTTTGATCTGTCGACTATCTCTTACTCTAGTTTCTATTTGAGAATGTGAGGATTGGTTACATATTCTATCTTTCAAAGCTTAATCATTTATATTCTGTAATACAGATCAAGAAGGAGATCAAGCAAAGCAGGATCAGAGTCACCTCAAAGGTAAGGAACTTCTTCCTTTTCTAACTCTACCTTATATTTTGATTTTTGGGTGTGTGAGGTTACAGAAACAGAATCTAATATGTAACGATATTTAGTACCAAGTTTACATGGTTACTTAACCGATGTGAAGGTCGTAAGCTTAATAAATGACACACCCGATGCAGCTCGCCCTACAGTTCTGGTTAGCGCAACAGCTGTTGGTTACTATGGTATGTGCTTCTGTCTAGATTAGTTGTTGTGAATTTTTTTCATCCTTCTACTGTTAGGATTGCTTATGTATATGTTCGTTCTCTGTTGCGATGTGAGAATTATAAAATCTTCCATTGGATCCCATTCATAATCTCTCAGGCACTAGTGAAACAGCAGTTTTTGATGAACGAAGTCCGTCTGGAAATGACTACTTGGCCGAGGTGAGGAGAGTAATTGCTGCAGTTCTGTGTTGGTAATTGGTATAGGAATTGTTGGATTTATATTTGTTCTTTACAATTGAAGAGGAAAAGAATCAAATCAATAAACGTTTGCTTGTGTTGCAAGTTTGCAACAAAGTTTCCGTTAATCATACAGCATATTGACATAATTATGTGGGTCTTTCTTTTTTTTCCTACTAGATCAAGTTTGTGATTGGAACTGGTTTGTTGCAAGTATGTTAGATAGAGCTGGTAAAACTTAGTTTCCATAAGAAAAATGGACTCATGAAAATTATACATCTTTCTTAAATTCATTGGACAGTTGTCTACTCGTAGTCTATCGAGAATCTTCGACCACCGGTGGTCGGCTTAGTCGTTATTGGGGCCCTTAAAAAAATAAAGGGGCTTAGGTAATGGTTAAAAGGCCATATAATTAGGATTTAAAAATCTCAATCTTTCCGTGAGATTAGAGCTGGTTCGGAAACTCATGGACATCGAAAGAAAGAAGTAATTTCTCTTTTAAGTTTTTTTTTTTTTATTGAGGCGCGTGTTTAATGAAGATGATGATTTTGCAGGTTTGTAGGGAATGGGAAGCAACAGCCCTAGGAGTAAACAAGGATGTGAGAGTGGCCCTTATTCGTATAGGTGTTGTTCTTGGTAAAGAAGGGGGTGCTTTAGGTATAGCTGAGTTTCCCTTGTTGATTATTAAATCATTATTTCCTTATACTAATCCGATTTCTGTTTCGAGTTACTTGGAGTGGAAGGATAGATAAAAGGCCGATGTCAGTTTTTGAATTTTTTTTCAAGAATTCGAACCTTCAACCTTTTAGATGAAAATATGTCTTAACCAATTGAGTTTTGCTCAAATTTGCCTTGAATGCTTCTTCAGCCAAAATGATCCCCCTCTTCATGATGTTTGCTGGAGGCCCTTTGGGATCGGGAAAACAATGGTAACTCTCTCGACATTCTTGTTTGGAAGATTTCTTGTTTCGATAGTTAATTAACTTACAGAAGACTCAACCTTTCTTTCTCTTTTTTTTTTAATATTTGATTTCTCTGCTTAGTTTACTATTGAAATGGGTTTGCAGGTTTTCCTGGATTCATTTGGATGACATTGTGAACCTAATATATGAAGCTCTCACCAATCCGTCTTATAAGGGTAATATTGCTACTTACCAAAGTAATAGCTGCAAATCTAGTATAATTTGAATATAATATTAAAATATTACAACTAAAAATTATTATGAATATAGCAAAAAAAGTACACAAATAAATGATTATTAATTAATTCGCAGCCTAACGGAAAAAAAAGGTTGATTAGTAATAATTTGCTGATTATGGTTGAGCAGTAAGTTATATTAATGACTATTTTAATATATATAAACAACACATTGGTAATAATTATTTAATCAATAATTTATAAGTTGCGTGTAACTTTTCTAGAGATGAAAGGTTTGAATCTTGACCGCGCATTGCAAGTATTATTAAAAAAAAAAAAAAGAGCTAATCAATAATTTGTAATTTTAAAAATATTATCTTTGTAATTACTTTTAGAAATGTACAAATATTTTTTTAAAAATAAACTTAACATTCAGATTTGCCGTTGGCATATGTGATAGATGGATTTTTGAAAGTTACCATTCAGTTTCATGTAGCATTTCATTAAAATGTAGTTAAAAAAAATGCTAGAAATATGGTGAATTTGAAGATGATATTATTTAAATAAAATAAAAAAAACGTAATTTTTCAAAATATCGACTTAAATAAGATTATTTTTGCCACTTAAAAAATCGTGGTCATCACAAACATTAATTATATGCTTATAAATTGCGCATTGTCTGTGATTTCCGAAATTTTGAAATACCAGTTTTGCTAATTTTTAAATTTATTGCTTTCAGAGAGAAGAAACAAACAAACACTCAATTTATATACAAAAATTACTGACTTTTTGTTCTCTCTTTTCCTCTTATATTTCTCTCCCATTTTTCCCCCTTTTTCTTTTCCAACATCTCAATGTTTGCAATGGTTTTAAATTCTCTTAATTAGAAATGATTAAAATGTCGTTCAACCAAAAAAAAAAAAGAGAGAGAGAGAGAGAGAGAGAAACAAGAAACAAGCAACCTACAGCAAGAGATAAATTTGGAAGCAAGAGGAGGAAAAAAGAGTGAAGCTGAGAGGACTGACGAAAATTCATTAGCATGAAAATTGTATCGATGGCACACGATTTATATAGAAATTGCAACATTTGTATGTAAAAGGCTCACTGGTGGGTGGATAGAAAAAAGACTCTAAACGGGTTTGGTTACTGTTAGTAGGTGTTATAAATGGAACGGCACCAAACCCAGTTAAATTGGCAGAATTATGTAAACGATTGGGAGATGCTATGGGCAGGCCCTCGTGGCTTCCTGTACCCGAATTTGCCCTCAAAGCAGTCCTTGGAGAAGGAGCTACTGTGGTAAGTGGTAACAAATAACAATAACAACCCGTTTTTCCCTATTTTTGGTTTTCCAATTTCCAATTCCCAATTTGCTGCAGGTTTTGGAAGGGCAACGGGTGATACCTGCCAGAGCCAAGGAATTGGGGTTCTCATTCAAGTACCCTTCTGTCCAAGACGCACTCAACGCCATTCTTTCCTAACTGCTATTCTATTCTTCTACTGTAATGGATCTCAAGAGTTCTAGCTAGTAACTAGTGCTTTCCATTGTCAAATCTCTACGCATTGGTCAAATTCTTTCTGTTATATGAGATTTGCTTTCCTACTCGAAATGGCTCGAAATACTAGAGGATATATGGATCATAACATTCAAGTGTACTGGAGAAGGAGAACGAATGTTTGGTTTTGGTCCTAAATTTATGGACACAACTGACGCATGTTTTCTATTACACTGGCTGGTATAAGGATTCCATATATATATATATATATATCCAGTGCAGTAAATGTGTATTTGAATAACTCAAGAGCTAATTTATATATATAATCAAATCAACCTCTCAGCGAGTACCTTTTCCCAGAGAAGGGCTCAAATTTCGGCTCGTCCTTTTCAGGCTGCTCTTGTTTACTCTCTTTCGTGGCATCCTACGAAATGACAAAAACTCTGTTTAGTTTTCTTTTTTTTTTCAATACAATTGATGGAAGGCAATAGGAGCAAAAAAACCTTTTACCAGGCTGGTTTCCTGGAAATAAATTGATTGGGAAAAGCATTGATTTAAAATAGGATGATGAAATGTGCAAAGTGGGTAGGGTACCTTTGGAGCTTCTTTAGGGTTTCGAGGAGCATTTTGTCCAAACACTAACTTTCCCTGAGACCGACGAGTTCCGTTCTGTGAGCTAGACCCAGCAGATTGAGCAGATTGCTTCTCATCTGATGACCTAGAGGATGAAATTGACTGAGGCTGGTGACTTACAGATTTTCCATCTAAACGTCTTCCTGTTCCTGTGAAAGCATTAAATTTGGGCTCGGCTTCCGCTGCTGGAGCCTCTGCAACTGCAAGAGAATTCATTTAGAATTAGACAGACTGCCTCCTTCCTAAATGCATCTCTCCCGAGTTGATTTGACCAACATTATACTGGTATGTCAAAATAAATTTAACTGGTTCAGTCTACACGATGTGCACGTCACGATTTAATGCAGGGGGGGTTGTGTTTAAAATCAATAAACTACAATAAGAAACTGATATAAAAGGTCAATTTCATAAGCATAGATAAAACGAGAGGAAACACCAAACTGTTAAAAATGAAAAACAACGGCAGCACTGCAGCAGCCGCAAATTGCAGTGTAGGAGAAAAAGTGTAGAAGATTATACCTTGCTCCTTCCCCTTGATTGGTACAACAGGCTTCTCCGGTTCCTTGTAATCCAAGGGAGGTGCGAAATCCACCTCACAATCCGTCTCAATAATACTTATTGCATTGGAAGGCTTCGTTTCAACTATGTCAATGTAATATTTCTTGTTGTTATATGCCACCATAATACTGTCTCCAGTGGAGAGGCAGGAGAAATTCCGAAGTGTTGTCTCCAAGCTGTAATGACAAAAAAAATAAAATAAAATAAAAAAGTGTAATGTAAACAAACTTCATCGTTCCAACCATTACCGATGGAGAAATCATATATGATGTATGACAAGGGCACATCATTACAGACAAGAAAGACCTCCCTCCTCATCCGTCAAGACTAAGGATGAGTTTGGAAATGTTTTCGAGAGCAATATTAACACTTGAGCGCGCTTCTTAGACTTCTTCCAGAAGGATTAGACAATGTTTTCAAGAACAGGCAACTTTTTAGTTCTTCCTTTTTATTAAGAAAACCAAGCACAGACAAATTGAGAAAACAATTTGATATTCAACCAAACACCATAAAAATTTTCAGCATTACATTCATTAAGCTAGGGGTATTCTTGCAAGATCGAAAAGCGCTTTCAAGATGGCTGTAGTAATGCATTCTTTCATATGTATAGATTTGGACTAGCTTCACATATCTTAACTAGTTGAAAGGACTAATAGTCCAACCCTAGAACAATCGACGTCAACAAGTTTTTCTGTTATATTCAATATTCTAAGTGGATACCATGCGTTCATTGAAACATGGAACTTAGATATGGGTGCTTTGATGATGTTCAAGCATTTTGTGTACTCCTTGGGCTTGAGACTTTAAACGTGGTTGGTAATTGCTAAATTAACAGAGGTTAAAGAGAGCGCTTTCAAATTAAATAAGTGGTAGAAGATTTCAGCTTTAAAACTCCTTCCTATGACCCAAGCTGGAAATACCAACAATTGGAGAACATTAGACACATGTATCACCAACCAAAACATGAACAATTAACTCACATTGCTTTTGGATTGGAGATATCCAAGAAGTCCTTCGTGTGAGGTTGTAATTTGACATAGGTTCCCTTTGGAAGAGTGACATTCTTCACATGCACAAGGCCTCCTTCTGGTAAAAGCATGTTCTCCATCATCTGAAGGGGAAACAATTAGAAAGGAAGTGGGAGAATCATTGGATAGGAAGTAAGAGCTAATAACACCGGGGATACATATCATGCAAGAGAAATATGGACCTACCCAATAAGGCATGTAAATCATGCCTTCCTCTGCAACAAACTCCAAAACCCCGCAATGAGAGACTCGCTCAACAGCATCATTTCGAAGTTCAAACAACATTGGATAATCAATTTGTAAAGATGCTGCAGGGGGTTATGTTTAAAATCAGTAACCTACAATGAAACGAACAACGATGGAAAAAACAGGAGAAGAAAAAGGATTTTTAAAGAGATCCCAACAAACCGAGGCGATCAAGGGCTGATGGAGGCATTATAACTGCACAATGAAAATAACAATAAACAACATGAGAAATTAAGAAGATGGAGTTAAAAAAATACGTTAAGATGGGACATGGAACCTAAACCATAAAAATGGTAAAGACAGAACATCTTACTTCTATCTCCAGTTTCAATGTGTGGCTGCAGTATGAAAAAGATTAATTGGAATTAGAAGAAAATATTAACTTTAGGAAGCGCTCTCAAGTTATATGCATGCAAATATGGATGCTTAAAACGCCTTTTAGCCAACAAATTTGAGACATGAGCGGTGATTGCTTAATAATATGCAGTTATAAGCTTATTAAAAAAATTAATTCAAGAGCAATGCTTGTTCCATGCTCCAACTTCAAACAAAGACAAGAGCATATTGCAACTGCTGCCTACATTTAATTTTCTATCATGGAAACCGCCTTTATTATGGATGCTTAGCAATGAAAATGCAAAATTCAGGAAACAAATCAAATACTAATCAGCATTTGAGTACATTTCTGGTGACAGATGTTGAAGGTAATCAAACCTTATCAATAAATGACGCAGAGAAGCATTGATATCTGTGTTCAAATGTGGTTCCACGATAACCATATCCATCAAAATACTGTAGACGTGAAAATATAGAGAAAACATGAGTTTTAATGACTACAAAAAGAAGGGAAAAAAACACACATAAAATATGCAAATACTTATTCACAATAAGAACCCTCATAAAATGGGGCATTGGATGCTAGTGTATTGCATAAATAATGACATGGGCATGGTTAGAATAAAACTCAACACAAGTCATATCCTTCCTCTAGGTTTGGATTGATTTAAAAAATTCAAAACATTAGGATGATATTATAGTCATATAACAGTCTTCTTCTACCAAGTGAGAATGCATAAAAAGAAAATAAACTTTTTTCACAAAAATGAAGTGCTTTGAACACGCTATTATAAACATCCACCACTTGGGAAATTCCTTCTGCAAATATCAATGTTTTAAAAGGCTAAAGGCGGCCTCGAGGCTTTTTCTCTTGAAAAGGCGAGGCATAAGCCTCAAGGCGGTATGAGGCGTAAGCCTCAATTTTAATTAAAAGAATTAAACAAATCCTAAATTTGTGTGGTCAAGTATTACCAAACATAATAGTTATATAAAATTATCAAAATATCCACCTGTTACTTGTCACTCAAAAAAAATTCTAAAAAAACATCATAACATCACTACTATTATCACCAATAGAACTTACTTATTCTATAAATTGTTGTCTTCAATATTTTTAAAGTCTAGGTAGTAAAAGTAGTAATAGATTGAATTGTTACACTTACAACTCTTGCTTAGGATTCCACAAAAAAAAAACCTTGATATTTTTTAAGAATTGGAAAAATTAATAGTATTCTTGTAATCATTACACGAGGCGTATACTTTAAGCCTCAGTGCGTTTTCAAAGAGGCGTAAGCCTCTTCTATGCGAGGCGTAAGCCTCTTATAGTCCAAAGAAGGCGTAAGACTTGAGGCTAAAAGTTAGAGCCTTGCCTCGAGACGGGCCTCGAGGCTTAAGCCTCAAAAGCCTTTTAAAACATTGGCAAATATTGCTCAAACCAGTCTAGTGTTCCACAGCCAGAACAAGCACCACGTCTTAAGGTCTAGGATTATTAACAGTTAACATAAAGCAGCATTGTTCTCATCTAAAAGCCGAAAGCAGCATCATATTATATTGAGGGAATGTAAAACCTTATTTACGTCAGTGAAATTCAATTCCGCATGACAAACCCCTAACACATATTGCATGCCTTTTCTTCACTTTCTCATCACACAGGTAATATAAGAATCGTATGCAATTTCACTAAACGATCAGAGATACTCATTTCAATGAGCTGAAAGGCATGCATACCATTTTGTAGAGCCTTTAGAGTTCCACAAGCTCCCACTCGAGCAGAAAAGAACTGCCAGTTGTAAAATACGTAAGAAAACCGGATATTTGAAAATTGCAGCATCATAAACCTCGAATTACATCCAGCAAAAAATCGCTCATTCACCGTATAACTTAAACAAGCGTAGTGAATTTTTATAAGGTCACCACGTGCATCAAATTAGTCTATAGCCAAAACAGCAAAAACAAAGAAAGTAAACAAATCCATACTTTCCATTCCCCTCTCAATGTCAAACATGAAACAACAGCTACTAAAAAACAAATAAAACCAAGGCAAACAATAAGACTAAGCTAAAATATGAACAAATTCCAGAACTCATACTAACGCTACTCAATAATAAATCAGTAATAAAGCAAACATCAGACTAAATACTCCATAAGTTGCTATGTTTCTCTTAATTCCGCCGCAGGTAACCAACAACTTTACTTTTCTGATAATCGGAACAGGAAATAAGGTTACGAAAAGACGAACACGCATTTCCAAAGGAGTAAAACGCAAAGGTGATGAAAAATCAAAGTTCCAGTCATTCAACTTCCTCAGCAAGCAAACAACCAGAGTATCATCTCAGAGACGATTGACTAAGAAACAACATTAAATTCGAACAATACAAGCTAGAAAGCGAATGCGGTCGCACCGGAGACGAGAAAACGGAGAGAGACGTCGCCGATGAACGATCGCCGGCCGGAGGAAGCGTGTAGAGGAGAGAGAGTTTGATTGGTTTCACTAATGGGCGTCGGATTTGGAAAAGAAAAAACCCGAGATGCTAAAGCAAAACCAGATGCTCTAAATCGTAATGTTCACGCCATGTATATACGATACATTTGGGTCTGGGCCTTTGCATGGGCCATTCTTTTGAAGCCCACTAAAATAATTCGGATTGAATCTGATACAATTCCGTATATACCCTTCTACGGCACATCGTTAAACCAAAAAAAATTCACCCTTAGAATAAAGAAATAGGCTTACTATACATTAAATCACACCCAAACCAGGATATGGAAAAAAAATATGGAAAATCTTATTTAACAGTAAAGACATATAACTCTTTCTCCTGGTTGGAAATTCAAATTCTCACGTCAGATATTTATAAAAAAAAAACACTATAATAAATTTAAACAATTTGTCTAACAAAAATTTGTTGTTGAACACCAATATAATATGAATGGACTTTATGTCATGTTTGTCCACCAAGGCATGTACCCCCATTATTATTCTTTTCCAAATAGTTTATCACTCACTATAATCAAATATTTCAAAATAACTTTATAAGTTCTGTCATTCAAGTTCAAAGAATTTTCATTACGCTTCTATATTTTGTATTTTTATTTGGTATATCTTTAGTCCCTATATAAATAATATGTTTGACAAAAGTCGTCTAATTTGACACTTAAGTAAAAAAGGGAGAGACATAATCTTTCATTTTATAGATGATTTGTCATGACGACATCTATATGGAGATGGACATATCACTTCATCAAATAGTTGCAATTCTCATCAGATTAATTTCTCTCTCAACACACTTTTTCACTAAAACACTCACAACTCTTTTGGATTAACTCTTTGTTTCATCGAATGATCACAATTCTTTTGAGATTAATTCTCTCATCATACACTTTAACCCGAACAATTGTGTCTCTCGTAGAAATTTGAATGGCGAAATATGCATGTATTTAAAAGTTGAGTAAAAGAGTAGAAGGTAAAGATTCACCTCCATAGTCTCATTTATATATAGAATAAATTAACCATTAAAACATTGCTTAAAAAACAATTAAAGCAAAAAAAAAACAATTAATGAAAAAAAATCGTATATAACTTAGTCTTTCACGTTTGAAAAATATAAATTAAAAAAAAAAACATATAACATCGTAAACAACACATACGTGATACATAGCAACCATAAATCTAAAACCATAAAATTAATGATGTACATCCATCATAGTTCAATAGTAATTGACATATATCTCTAACCAATAGATTGTAAGTTTGATTCTCAGCCTCACAATATTTTAAAAGTATAAAGACTAAAATAGATAAAAATTAAAAATATAAAGGCTAGCAATATACGACCTAAAATTAGAAAAGTATGAAGTTACTCAAATGGTATCTTTTTTTTGCTCCCTTATCCAGGAACACCTGCGCCCGCCCAAAACCCCGATCGACAATACCCAAATGGTATTTAAACCTTAATTTACATCATGATAATTTTGTTGTTTATTTGATGCTATTGTTTGGAGTTCACAGTATGAAAACTAAAGAAATTTCATCTCCCGACATTGATTTAGTATGTATTTTAAAATGTCACCGACATTTTTATATGTTAAAACAGCATAAATTAACTTTTCTTGACGTAGTTTATCTCACATTTAAGTTTGATTTAAATTATACTACTTTTGTTAAATTATAAATCTTAACTTCAACTATATTTAAAAAAATTTCATATTTATTTAATATTATTTATGTAATTGTCTCTAAAAATTATATGTAGGATTTGCATGTGCGTCACATATAGATACATATACATATATTTTAAATTAGGAATTATGCATACTCTCCTCCATCATATACATATATTTTAAATTAGGAATGATGTATACTCTCCTCCATTAAATAACAGTTTCAATATTTCATTTGACGGAGGTTTATTTGACGGAGGTATAGGGTAAGTTCAATTTTTTCATACTAAAACGTATCAAATAACGTTTAATTAGTCAATACAAACATAATTCAATACTTAATATATCTACTACTTTTTTGAAGTCCAAAGTTTAAATCGTCCCCTCCCATTTACCATAATTTGTATTTGTGAAATGATGAAGCCACTATTGTCCTCTTGTTTGACTTATTTATGATTTTTATTTTTGTTTATTATTATTATTAGTATTATTATTATTATTTTTTGGGGTTTGCAAAGGTGTTTGTCTTATTCGACCATCTCGTCTCCTGCCACCAACCGGCCAGACACACATTTATTACACCACTATTTCAGCTCCAAAATTTTTGGCCGTAAAGGACAAAACGTGGCATAATATAACTGGTTGAGATTTGTAGATTTTTTTATTACAAATTAATGATTGAGATTTGTAGATTTAATAAAACAAAAAAACCAAGTATTTGGAGCCAGTACGAATATGCCATCTGGCACCCATAAGTCGATGGAGATTTAATTAAAAAAAAGTTTGAGTTCTCCCAGCATCAATGACCAACACGAAGGGTGTTTATGGCACATCCAACTTATTCAACTCATGCAATTCTTATCGAATAATAAACTCAACTCAACTATTAAATATTTAGGTTGAGTTGGTTCGAGTTATTTAATATCACTTATTCAAAGTATGGTAGGATAGTACACTACATTTTATGAACTTTATATTATAATTATTTATTAGTTTTTGTCTAATTATGACAAATTTACGTACATAACACATATTTTGTAGAGATGAATTATCGAGAGAAAATGAAACATAAATGGATCTAATCAAGAGGAAAATCTAGCCCGAAAAAGGTGGTTTAGAGTTAGAACTTAGATGTATAACTAAAGATGTTTTAAGATTGAGAGGTTTAAAAGTCCTTTAGAGATCTTTAAAAGACATATTCTTTAAAGTCCTTACTTGTTATCGAAACTAGATACAAATATTGATTTCTTAATAAGTAAGGAGAATTATTCGCTCGGGAGAGGCGGTTAAGATTTGAGAGTTCTTGGCCTATAAAATTAATAGTTCATTCCGTTTTGGGTAGGACCCGTTTGTTAACATTATTGTTTTTTGTTTTTGTTTCTTCATTTTTAATAAAGAAAAAATAGAATTGCATGGCTCCAACATTATGATTTTATGCTATTTTCGGATAAGGTAGAGAGGAGGATAAAACTCAAGATAGTTACATGTAAGAGTATATTTTGCTTACCCTCGTTAAAAAAAATTGACAATTAAATTAACTAAGTGAGATTTGAGTGGAGTTTGTATCTCATCGTAGGTGATAAATTTATATGATGCTAACTATAGGTGTGGCCGATCTAAAAAATTTGTTTAGGGGGCTTCGTACTAATATTCAGGTAAGTAATTCACAAATTTATAAAACGGTTGATTTGGAGGCTCGATAGTTATTTTTGTAAATATACTTTACAAACTTGGTTTCAATATTACATTGTAATCCACCATTATATCTATCAAAACTACAATTAATTTTCTTCAATAGAGATGATGATCCTAACAATTTTATTTGATGATAGTATATCTCTCTATTTAGATTCCAAATTAAATTTATAAGAACATTAATAAAAATAAAAATCTATGACATAAAATAAGAATATTATAATTATATGTATAAAAGCAGTTCAAACATGAAAATTTTATATTCTAGTCCAAATTTTTACTAACTATTATATTCAAAATAACATATGATATAAAGTTAATAAAAATGTACCTTAACAATTAATCTCCAAATTATCGACATCTTTAGATTTTCCAAAATTAAAATTAATAATTATATAAAATAAGAACAATTTATTTAAAAGAGAAGAAAAAAAATATCAATACAATAATTTACAGAAAAATTGTTAGCAATATGTAATATAAATTGAAAATAAAAATAAGTCTTGAAATTGTTATCAAAATTTAGATAAAAAATACTAGTTTTAAAAGAGCGGGTAGTGGTTACCTAATTTAAAACTAAGCCGGATAGAGGGGTTAAGTTAACCCTTGTCACTCCCAAAGATGAATTTATACTTTTTAGTATATTTTTATGTACTAATCCTATAAGTTCGTAAGTTCAGGGGTCTCTTTGGCCTAAAGTACATCTGCCCCTCTGACCACCATATTTTTAACTCATTCCTTAAAAGGATATAGTTTGACTCCTTAATTTAGACCAGTGACTAATAACCATGATTGTTAAATAAAGAATTAATATGAAAAAATATTGGAACGTTATCGTCCCACTATATATTATACAAACATTGTGTCGGCTAGCTATGAGAAATAATAATAATAATAATAATAATAATAATAATAATAATAATAAAAGTGACAAATCACTGTAGTGATAAATTAACTTGGATTCTTTTTTCTAATACAACATGTGGGGTGGATCATCAAACTCACGACTAGATATATGTCAATTATTCTTGAATTATACTTACTTTGGCTAGTCGCGAATTTGAAATAAGTTACTCATTAATCTTTATTAATAAATATCGCAACGTCATCGCGACCGATGAAGGGTCTCTTTCGAGAAAAACAGTTTTTAGATTTGGGAGACGCTATATTAATTCACACGTTGTTATAATGTATGAATTAATAGGTATGAGTAGTACGAACACCATTGAAAAAAATTTATCGAACTCGAACTTAGGCTACAAATGTTAATAACCAAGTGCATTGCCAATATGCCAACACTTTGGAATACAATATAAGTTTCTTTTTAAAAATACAAACTTTTTATTTTTCAATTTCCGTTTAAAAAACGAAAATTTTCTATTTAAAAAGAAAAAAAAGAAAGAAAAAAAAGATCTTTTATTTAAAATAATTATTTAGTAAAAACAATGATAAAAAATAAATAAAATAATTTTATTTCAAAGTAAGCCGAGATTCGAACTTGAGTGATACAAAAAAATCTCTAACCATCTTACCACTACGCTAATATCATAGGATAAACATAATTTATTTTAAAAAGAAATCTTAAAAACCTAAAAATAAAATCTTATTTTTTTAACACATCTATTTATATAAAAAACAAAACTATATTTAAACTCTCTTTAAAAAAATCCCAAAATCGTTTACTCTTTTTAATAAT